AGTACCTTGAAAGCAACAAAGAAGGCAGTAAATATTCTGCGAGCATAAGAAACTACCAATGGATTTTGAGATGCTGGATGAAGTTTACGCTAGTGCATAGGCTATTTTGCTTAAGTTCTCCATGTAAGGTAACATTATGTGGAAGTGAGGAAAACAGACGGTGATTATTACAAGACAGCGTCATTGAATTTCTTGCTTTCGGATCAAGTCAGCCTAATGTAAAATAATAATATTGGATGGCTTTTTTTCCTAGGGAATACAAAAATATAATGCTATAGTATTGCACTCGTCTTCAACTCATGCAATATTGCCATACGCTGTAGCTTGTGTAATGTAATAGATCCCCCAAAGCCATCCAATATTATATAAATATGATATTGTCACTGTCACTGTGTAATGTGCACTAACATACACAAGCCATCAACCACAGACAAAATATCAAATTATGAAGCCCTGAGAAACAAAAACCTGCCTGATTTAAAAAGATCAACAAAGGCAGGAAATTTAACACTATAAATAAATACTATTGAAACCATCATGCAACAAGCAATCTGAGCTAGCATCCAAAAAACAAGCAAGCCAAAAACAAATCTGACCTTCCATTCTGTATTAAACAAAAACCCTGTGTTGACTTACTAAGTTGACTTACTAACCCTATTTCTTCCCTGCCTGTCCCAGCAATAATTTATTCTGGGCCAGACAAAAACAATTTGTGCTTTCTCAGCCAATTATATATTATAATGAAAAATGAAAAGACAAGCTGGGAGTGGGAGCCAGGGCCGACTAGCAGACCACCTGCTTGGCGTGTCAGCTGTAGGCCTGTCATGCCTATAATGGTGAACCTACCGGTATATCATAAACACACAGATGGGCCAATCAAGGGGACACATGCTTGCTCATGTTCAAGTTCAAGGGCGGATCGGAGGTCCCCAACAAGGGCCCTTCCTGTGCCTAGTTCAATGACTCCCTGGGATTAAAAAAAAGGAAGATGTGTTTTTCATGAACTGTTAAATCTTCAGGGCTTTTTGCCACTTGACTTTCATCCCCAATCTGACCTTGGTTTCAGATTCAGTTCAGAATGTGTTGATTTGCTTTTTGTATTTTTTTTTTTCAGTTTTAAAGGGAATATACAACATTTGCAAACATCAAAAAATAAAACTACCTTACTAGGATGTTGGTAAATGACAGTCTAAAGCATCCTGTAAAATTATGGCACCTGGTGTGAAGTCATTTTCAAGAAAATGGTATTTTTTTTATACGTTTCCAACAGTGGTCGGCCGACTACCGTTGGAAAAACCCAACTATTTTTCAACTACTGCTCCAACTTTACACTTTTTTTCAGTCCAAATATTGTTTGCTATTGGTTACATGTTCATGAACGGGTGCAGGCCAGCTAGACTGGTTCCCTTACCTTACAATTTTCCGGCATCTATAAATTGATCCATTTTATCTTTAGTGGAGTCAAGGAACCAGAGTACTTGAACATTTTTGTTTTTCTTGGTTTTTCCCAGCATTTTCAAACACAAAACTTCAAACATGTCAGTGTAACAATATTTGATCTATTATACTAACCCCTCAAATAGTCCATTTCTGAAAATTACAGCAAAAGCCAATGATGTACATTCCCTTTAAGAACTTACGAGGGACACTTGATTTGCTATTTTTTTTCAGTTTAAGAACTTACGAGGGACACATGATGAGAGGTGAATTCCTCCCACTTAAATTTTCTTTCCAATAATACAATTATGAATTATTTATATGAAGTACCGTGCAATGCTTCCATGAATTAGGTTTTTGGGGGTTTCCCCCAACAAAATTCAGGAATGCAAAAGGGCCCAGGCTTCTTAAAAAGAGGTCCAGTAGTTCATGGAAACATTGCAGGAAGAGTATCACAAGCTGGTACCCCAAAATGCCAGAAATGCCGTCGGGTGCACCAGGACGCATCATGTATGGACTTTGTGAACACATATGTTACTTCATGATTGAGTCTTTTGATTGAGTCTCAAGTTCTCTGTGAAGTGCACCCAGGTGGGTCAGCACAAGTGACTTTTTCTGGGAAAATGTTGGCACTAGAAGTTCATTCTATCTGGGACATAATGTTTTAAAACACCAGACATGACAGACAGACTATGTGGGGGTGGGTTGATGATAACATTTCCAAAAACTGTTTAGGCTAAAAAAAAAAAAAAATACTTAGTGCTTCCGATTACATGGCATTTGAAAATAGGGTAGTTCTGTTGGAAGGGAAAACTTTTTTTGGGCAATTTTGTGTGTGTATATTTTGTAAAAAGTGGTCAGAAAGCGCCCTCTGCTGGTAATGCACAGAGTCCATTGCTTCATAGACTTGAGATGAATTTGTGTGTTATGAAACTGTCAATATTTGATGTAGGCCTATTGAGTTTTGCATGGCACCGTACTGTATGTGCATTGCCTTCTCAGAGCCTATGAGGAAAAAAGGTTTATTTGAGCGGAACTCCATGTCTTCCTGCTTAGTAACGCAGACATCTTGACCAATTTCTTGCAGAATTATGTCAGGCAGTTTGAGACTCAGAATATGCAGAGACATCAATCATTATTTGAGACCTGTCATGCTTTTGGTTTGTGAGGACTGAGGAGAAACCCAATTTGAGAAAACATTGAAGTTGTTCAATGAAACAGGATGTGAACTCGGATAAAAAAAATGTCTCACATAAAATGTGAATGATCCCTAAATTACCCTGGTACCAGTGTCTGCCGCACACACACCCACACAAAGAGAAAGTATTATGAAGTCCCATGGGATGATTTGGAAGTACGATTCCTAGAATGGAGGTCTAACAGTTATATATTTTGGCTTAATTGTCTCCGTCATGTCAAGCTCTAGAGAGGCAAAACTTGTTTTGTTTAATTTGTCATTATCCAATGTAAAAATGTTTAAGCTTGAATTAAAATTGGGATAACGATTAAGACAATGTTAAGTAATTAGAAACAGCTCTTTGAGTCAACCTGGGATTATAGGAAGGGCCTCAGCAAATGTGTAAAGCTGGAAAGCAGATTTCTAGGTGGTTACAAACAAAACCCTTATCAATTTAAGAAAGTCTTTGTGGTTCAGACGTGTTTAAAGTATTTGTCAGGGAACTTAATGCTTGGAATATAATTTGGAATAGGCCTAAGGCCCTCCCCCCCCCCCAAAAAATAATAGTTCTGCTTCCGGTTACCCTACCTACCCTATTTTGATAGCCCCTAAATGAGGGGAAAAAACCAAAATCATCAATTATTCCCTTTTACCCATGACTACCTACACGCAGACACCTCCATAATATCATACACAAAAAAAATTGCCAAAAGAACGTTTTCCCTATATGTACCTACAGGACTACTCTATTTTCAAATGCCATGTACCTAGAAGCAGAAGTATTTTGTTTTCTTTTTTTTTGGCCTCAACAGTTTTTGGAAATGTTATCCACCCACCCCCACATAGACTGTCTGTCATGTCTGGTGTTTTAAAACATTATGTCCCAGACAGTGAACTTCTAGTGTCAACATTTCCCTAGAGAAAAAGTCACTTGTGCTGACCCACCTGGGAGCATTTTACAGAGAAAGACTCAATCAAAAGACTCAATCACATCGTCGGCCGCACCACGAAGTAACATATGTGTGCACAAAGTCCATACATGATGCGTCGTGGTGCACCTGACGGCATCTCAGAAAATCCCAAGTGAACATTTCAAAACATCTTTTGTTAAGCTTTTTTTGTACCAGCTTGTGATACTCTTCCAGCAATGTTTCCATGAACTTCATAATACTTTCTCTTTGTGTGGGTGTGTGTGCGGCAGACACTGGTACAAGGGTAATTTAGGGATCATTCACATTTTATGTGAGACATTTTTTTATCCAGGTTCACATCCTGTTTCACTGAACAACTTCAATGTTTTCTCAAATTGGGTTTCTCCTCAGTCGTCCAATCCCGCGTGTTATTATACCGCGCGCTTCATGTAACCCCGGGACGGCATGTGGTAGTAAATGCCCGCGGGACAGTGCAGTACACGGCGGCGCAGGCGAACTAAACCCAGCCAATTAACGACTTGATTTCAAGTCCAGATGCCCCCTAGCGTGGCGCAGCCCCTAACGTGCTGCACTTTTTTTCGTCTCTAGTGCCTAGAACAAAAGTTTTACTTCAAATTTCACAGTCAGTGAAATTTCAAAAAGCTCTATAAATACATTCCTGATCATGAACCTTGAGTTTACCTACCCGTTACAAACTTATGAGAGAAATTTTACTTTGATGTGATTTTGCGATTTCATTTTGAAGAGCGCAATGAACTCTTTAAAAATGCTCCCAAAATAAGAAAATAGTTTTGTGACAATAGTGTTGTTGGATGTTAGTGGAGGTGATAAATTTAATTTGGCAGCTTAACAAAAGATACTTTGAAATGTTCACTTGGGATTTTCTGAGATTTGTTAAGTTAGTGCGCCACATTAGGGAACACTCGGCCAATTTTTTTCGTCCAATTCCTGGACACCCCTTTTTTTTCAAATTTGGACTAAATATTATGACACTGAAATCGCTCACAAAGATTCAACAGCAAGCATTTACAGTAAAAGTACCAGGGGCCAATTTCATAGAGCTGCATACGCACACAATTTGCTTAAGCACAAAAAAGTCTTGCTGAATAAAATCAGGTTACCGGCCAAAACTCCACTCGATTATTATATTAAGTAAACAACAGCTATATACCAGTCACCAGCAATGCACCTTACATGGGGTTTTGGCCGGTAACCTAATTTTACTAAGAAATGCTTTTTCGTGCTTAAGCACATTTTGTGCTTAAGCAGCTCTATGAAATTGGGCCCTCAGTATTTAACTGAATGAATTTGAAGCTTTTCAACAAAGCGGTTGGGCAACGCTGCATGAGGAAAGTCGGGGATAATATCGAAATGCGCTACGTTATAGGGGATTCCACTACACTGGTATGCACGCCTACATGTATGGCGCGAAGCACTTATTTCTGCACAAACCCTTAGCCTCTGTATGCAATGCGCTTGTATGTCCCTCCGAGTGGTCTCCCCCAGCTCTCCCTTTGTAAGTTCTGATGGGGGTACTTGTGTACCAAGTCTGTAGAGAGGCTGTTGAGTGTTTTTATCGGAGGGTGGTGGAAGGGGGAGGGGGTGTCCAGACTTACCATCATGAGCCAGTCAAGAGGAAGTAATCGGGCCACGTTGGTGGCACGGCAGAACAGCAGCCCAACGCAGGACAGCAGGGATAGCACTGACGTGAAGACAAACACCCGGAACTTCCAGGAAGCTGGGAGGGAGAGATAATCGTTGCCTTGGTAACTGATGCTCGTCGCACATATAAGGGCAGTCAGTGTGATTACCTGGGGTGAAGTAATGAAGGGATGCGGGAGAAAGGTTGTGATATCGTTTCATCTGGCTATTCATGAAAATAAAATAGTCAGGATATTTGTCTTATTAAACTCACTGTGTGTGAGCTATGGTGCTAGGGGAATTGCACATGACAAAATATTTCATGTCCAGTGTGGTTTAGAATATTCACAACCTATCGTCACAAGATAGGACTGCTCATTTTTGAAAAAGTAGTATTTGATTACTAGGAACTACGTTTTCAGATATTCAACAACATGTACGTGCTGCGCCGGTTAAAAGTTGAACACACAGCACACCAGCCGGAAGGGCTAAAATAAAAATGGCTGTCACTGCCAGGCCGAGGGCAGGCGCCCCTGCCACAGCCCCTGGATCTGCCACTGCAAATTATTTGCATATTTTGGTATATCAGGGACAGCCCTCCCACATGACGGATAACAAGATGGCGGGTACCGGTTTCATTGAAAAATTTCTACCAACAATGGTGGCAATGTATTTATTGTAGGGCTAGTCCAAGTTCAGAATATTTTCATCCCATTATGACATACATGTACATGAAAACAATATGGTTTGTAAGTAAGATTTGAGGCTTTGCATGGTGGAGATACTAAATAATGAAAGGTTTGCGGAAACACCATGTGCGAATAATTTCTCAATTAAGATCGGAGAATGATTCTCAAGAGAACAAGAGGTATAAACTCGACGTACCGGTCAGTATGCTCTGACCGTCTTCACAAGAGACGGTCAGAGCATACTGATCGGAACGTCGAGTTTACAATGTATACCGCTGGTTCTTTTCAGAACCATTCTCTTAATTGAGAAATTATTCACACATGGTGTTTTTCCGCAAACCTTTCATTATTTAATATGGTTCATACCACATAGAGAAAAACCATTAAGCCTCCCAGATGTCGGTATGCTGCAGCCAAGCCCATAAATAAATATTACCCAGCTACACTCAATGTATGCAAATGGTAAAGAAATCCATTTTATGTCATCTTCAGCTCAGTCACGAAAAGGAAACTGTGCTCCTTTGAGCTCCATGCAAATGTACCCCCTCAAAGGTAATAAATGGAGAGTCAGGGGAGACCACTAGCAGAGACATTGAAACACATTGCCAATAACGCCTGACGTTCGCGCGAAAACGCAACATGTGGCTTTCTGCACATTCAGACGAAATTTGGTCCTGCTTTCTTTGTGTTATACGCGTGCAAGCCAGTTTGTTCATGTACATAGAAGTCCCATCGACTGGACTCTCAAATCTGGTAAAAATAACAAGTTTATTCTTTTGTTTGCTCATGAAACTATGTCAACTGGGCTCGTAATACAACACATCAACAATCATGGATGAGATTGTGAGAAAAGGAAAAATCCACAAAACTATTGGCCGAGTGTTTGAGGGTCACCGAGGGCCCCATCGCAAAGGCATTCTTAACCCTCCTGCTATTTAAACAGTCACAGACAGTCAAAATTCACTTTCTCTTCCCTGCTATACTCTTAGCAAAGGCTAGTCACCAGCAGTCAGATCATATGTACAGCAAGCACTGTGACTAGTCAAACTGGGTCAACAGACAAAGCAGGCAAGTTGTGGTCACAGCTGTTTTATCACTCACCCTTGCACAGCTGTATCAAGTTACTTCAACAGTCCCAGCCAGTCAATCCCTTTTTATGTAGGCTGGGAATTCTTAACTGTTGAATACAGTCATTTATTTTATTTTGACTAAAAGGACTACTTGGCATAGAATGTATGTTTGCATAGGATGGTCAAAATACCAATTTCTTAAGTTTTATATAAACTCTGATAATAACAAAAAAAACATGTTTATGTTTTGTAAAACCTCAGGAATTCCAGATTTCAAAACAACTTCTTTAAAAATCCCGAGATCAGGAAAAACTCCAGACAAAAAATCTTGAAATCAGGAAAAATCCTGACAAATCTCACCTTTGCAACAACGAAGCAATTAACAGGTAAATTTCTGGAATGAAATGTGAGCACTGCACAATGTACCTCGTCACCCTCGCCCTATCAGCCCTCCAGTACACCTGCCCATTCCCCTGAGGAGCAGCACTAATTGTTCAAGTCTCCACCACAGGAGAACTGCAGGGGGACATCCAATGCATGAGACGTCCATATACATATTCCATCACGCAACTCTGGCTTGGATGACTCCCAATGGAAGCCTCCAAGCTGACAAGTTCCCAGGATAAGCTGTCACAAACGGCTCTCCTAGAGCTGCTGAATTCAAGCAACTTTGTCCCATGTGGGGAATGAAGTGGGAGTAAAATACTGAAGAGGAGACAAGGTGACTGACATAAAGTCGTGCTGCAATAGTCTGAAGATTGTTTTTCTCAACTTGGAGGCATGTCGACCAAGTCACTAGTCACAGAAACAATAAAAACTTTACTTTATACATGTTGTAATTTTTATTTACATGTAGTAATGTCCTGGTCCTTGGGAAGATCAATCTAAATGGTGGGTGAAAGGTCCAGCATAACAACGTTTGATGCATAAAAGCTGGTCCTGGTATGTATTTAATATGAGAAAGCACATTCATTTTATGACAACATATTAAAAGCAAATTATCATTCTGTGTACAAACACATTGGCATGGAAACCCCCCCCCTCCACCCATTCGTACACATTGTGCATGCAATGTTAACAACAACCACCCTCATGCATTAGTACTTTATGGACTGCCCTAAAAGGATTTTTCAAATTCAAGGCATTGAGAAAAGCAAGAAAATAGGCTTTCAAAGTAGCAACCTGGCCCTAGCAATCCATCATGATTGCACAGTAGCTGGTTTGTGTAACAAACTTAGAGAGATGTATTACATTTTGATACTTTGTATATTTTTCTGTTATACTCTGTATTAAAACCAAGTGTAGACTACAATGTATATACATGAACCTGCTGTTAACCTTGGAGTCCTGCACAAAAGACCAACAGTCACGCTGCATGCTGTGACTAGCATTCAGCAATATGTGTCCTCAATCAAGGTGACAGCCTAATAGTGACCTGACCAGGACTACCCACGCCAAACCAGCTGTAAATCAGACAGGCCTGTCAGTCAGTTCCATATATCTCTGTCCAGACTGGGCCATAAACCTACATCATGCCAGACTCCCCACAACTTTAGCCAACACACTGCCATGTCTACATTACACAAGTTACATAACTGGGGCAGGGCCAAGAACAGCCAGCTGTGCACATTCCACCAAAGTGAAGCCACCTGCTAATGGGGCTTCTTACACCACCACATAAAAAACCCACCCTACCAAGCCTGGGTTAAAGGGAATATACAACATTTGCAAACATCGTAAAATAAAACTACCAAGTTTTTGCGAAATACCTTAATAGGATGTTGGTAAATGACAGTCTAAAGCATCCTGTAAAATTATGGCACCTGGTATACTGTCATTTTCAAGAAAAGTGGTATTTTTGTATCAATTTCCAACGCTGATCGGCCGATCAGCGTTGGAAACAACTGGCTTTTTTTTTCAAATACTGGCCCCAATTGACCATCGCACTTGTTTACAATCGATTACAAACCTATGAACGGGTACGAGCCAGCTAGACTGGTTCCCTAACCTTACAATTCCCCAATGTATGTAAACTGCTCTGTTTCTTCTTATATGGAGTCAGGGAACCAGACTACAGGAAAATGATCGTTTTTCTTGGTTTTTATAGCATTTTCGAACCCAAAACCTCCAAAAAGTCAGTGTAACTATATTTGCTTTATATTTCCAACCCCCCAATTCCAACCATTTCTGAAAATTACAGCAAAAGCAAATGATGTATATTCCCTTTAATGCCCCAGCTGGACTGCACAAAGTAATTGGGGGAAATCAACATGCTCCACTGCACTTGGGATTTCATATGCCCAATTTACAGCGAGGTTTTGACTGCGGGAGATTTGGGTCATTTTTCTCACAGTGGGCAGGTGATGTGGTTATTTGGATTGTGTCTGGGTTTGGCTGGAGTAGTATATATGGCGAAAGAGCTCTAAATTGTTGTGTTTTCCTTGTTTATTTAGAGGGCAGTGGAAAAAAACCTCTCCACACCTCTCTAAAGTATTTCAATTAAACAGGTTTAGCAGAATCAAAGTTGGAATGTGTGAATGAAATAGAGTCATCAATTGAGGTCACTCGTGATTTTGTGTACACAAAACAGCACATAAATATACTTGATTTGAGAATTAGGGGAGGGTAAGGAGGGAGTGACATAGATAAGGAGGTGCAATTTCATATAATTTTTGTTAAGGAATAATTTTTTTTTTTTAAACGAGGTATAAAACTGAATACTTTTCAAGCATAGATTATGTAGACTTTTGATTGGATTGAAGAGCAAATTTCATCCAAAATAAAACTGCATCCAATTGACTTCCCCGCTTTCCTCCCTTCATGGCAGAAAACTTAGGCAATAAGCCTCTGTGCTAATGATGTCACACTTTGTTTACGTGTGCGCTTTCCTATGGTGCTCAGTGGTCCGTGGGCCCCCACTGGCTCCATAGGAAAGTGCACAAGTAAAACAAAGTGTGACGCCATTAGTACAGAGGCTTACTGCTACCCTTGGTAAGCCCAATTGTTACACAATGTAGGACACAAAGTAAACTCATCTCACTTTTATTTGTCACTGGAGTCCTTTGAGTAGGGGTGTGCATTGATGGGTAGTACGGCAATCGGGTACCCGACTGAAAACTTAAATACGGGTAAACGGGTTTGTACCCAGGTACCCGTTACAGAATCCCAACCCCAAATTTTAAATCTCGGAAGTTGCTTTTCACATTGTTCAATGAGCTCCGTGCGCTACCAAAAGAGGGCGCCCTTTTACCTAGCAACGACGTTCCATGGGCGGGACATTTCACTGATTGACGTGCACTGTTCCTTTGTGTGTGACGCACGTACACCAGCAAATGAATTGCAGTCAGGCAAGATGGCGTCGGTTGGTCACCCCCAACTGTACTCTCTTTGCCGGTGAGGGGGTACTTGTGA